ATTGCTTTGCGATACGACGATATTAAAACGTGTGTGACTGTCAAGTTCTGGAAAATCGTTGCGTTTTCCGCTCGGCGAGTGTTACTCTACTATTCCAACCTAAGAATAGCAAGTTCGATACGAAATTAGATATGGAAGGTTAATGTACGTGTTTATTGATTCAATTCAATTGCAAAGCGCCACGTGCGCTGTGTAAACGCCTCGGTAAGAGAAAAGTAAGTACAGCCTTTACGGTAGCTCTTTTATTGTTATTATCGTTGAACAGAATTTACGAAAAAGCAGAACGAGTTACATTGCAGATTACACCTGAACTTGAATTGTGCGCCATAGTTATTGTATGTTTTTAATTTTCATAAGCAGCCCAAACGATTTGATACGAATCAATGAACCGAATAAAGGAATAAATGTCGGAGGCGTTGCTTCCGACGGCATCGCACGACCCCTTTAAATCCGCGTAACCATTAAGAATTCCTCCTGTAAACCCGAAGAGAACCCTCCCAGTGCGGAATCGCGGAACAAGGTCGCCCCGCTTGGCGATTACTAGACGAGCCTTTGTCCGTTTGGGACGACCTCCGACCCCGTTTCGTCGGAATAACCAAATCGCGAGCGAAAATCCGGGGTCCGACCTTCGGGATCCTCGGAGAGGGCATCCGGCCGATCTTCTCTGGAGAACGTGCGGCGCGTTCGAGCGATCGGCACCGACTGACCCCACGGCGGCCCCGCCGATTCCGCCGGTCACGCGGCCGAGGTCCTTCGGAAGCGGTCGGGCGTTTCCGGAAAAGCCGATCGCAGGAGGCGATCCTGGCTCGGGAAAACCGATCGCCAGTCGGTCGGCGTCGCTCCGCGGTGTCGATTTTCACGCGGATCCGCCGGACGGCGTTCCACTTGCGATCGTTATTTTTAGAGATCGCTCGCCCTCCGCCACCTACGAGTCGTCGGACGGACCGACGTCGCTCTCGACGGGAACGACGGCCGTCTCGCGCCGTCGAATCCGTTCGCGGAGTGTCATTTGTCAGTCGGACCGACCTACATCGAAAGGATCTCATCTCGCCTATCCTTGCCGATCGTCTTGGAATCATCGATCTCGGTTGAACTTACAAATTCTGTATTCCTTTGATCATTCAGTTGTCCGACAGGAATTTCAATTTATCTTACATTACTAAGAACTTAAAAATTCATCATTCTCGTAGGAACACCGAAGTCCTCGAAACGTTTCGACTCCGAATTGAAGCTTGAACAATTCAGAATATAATGATCCATTTTACACAAGCGAGGCCTGAAAAGCTTTAAACTAGAAGTCATCGGAGCAAAACTAATAGGAAAATAAATATGGTAATACGAGGTCTCGGAGTGACAATTTAGTTGGCACGGAAATCACAGATGGCGCAGAGTGTCCCTCTGCAGTCAATTAGGGCCTCAGAGACCATGAATTCAGGGTACTTCCGAAGTCTTCCTTAAATTTCTTTATAATCATTGTACGAAAACGACAGATGGAGTATGCTATTTAGTACAATACTGAATATAACCCGACACAGCGGTCAATATAAAAACCAACGTCGGCAACGTATATATTCAGAGAAGCCTTTTTTACGATCGTCGATGTCGATCAAGTTCCACGACGTGTGTCGATTCACCTTAAAACGCGTCCCATTCACCCTGCCGTTTTCTCCGTGAAACCGCATCGGAAATCAGAAGTCGAAGGTCGCAGTCTGCCGTTCCGCTAAGGAATCGACGCGCGGAGGCTCTAGAACGTCCTAGGGGGGCCTCGACCGGGTCCACCGATCGAATTCAGTTTATTATACAAGAGGCGCACCACCGAGTGCCGGTCAACGACCAGCGCACTGACCTGTACACCTTGCACCTCGATCGAATCGAGACGAGGAGCGACACGACGTGGCCCTATTGGCTCCTTTCTTCCTATTCGCCTCTTTCCTCCTATTCGCCTCTTTCCTCCTATTCGCTCCTTTCCTCCTATTCGCCTTTTTCCTCCTATTCGCTCTTTTCCTCCTATTCGCTCCTTTCCTCCTATTCGCCCTATCCACGCTGCTCGCGCGCCGCAGAGAGGCCCTCGGATGCGATATCGGCGATATTGCCGCGATATCGGCCGTCTCTCGCGGTTTCTCGATCTCTCTCCACGTGGAGGGAACGACGCTGCCCTGCCACGCGGCCACCACGAGGCCACCTTGAACGCGCGGATGAGAAGCTGCTCCGATTTGAGCTTTCCGACTGCCGGCCGGCCGCGATCCTTGCCGGAATGTCGTCCGCGGCGGTCGCGAGGTGGAATACGAGATCGCGAGAGTTTTTATATTTTAATGTTGTTTTCGATCCCTCACGGTTGAAACGTCGCGTATGGTTTATAAATGGAACATGGTAGAGACGGCTGGACCACTTCGGTAGGCCGAATTACCTGCTTTCCTGATTTAAGATAGAAGATTCCTGACTTAAGGGGATATCAAAGTGTCATCCGAGACTCCAATTGTTCGTGAAACTTTCCTATGAACTGGGTGTACCGAATCGTTATTATATAAACTTTATAATCCGAACATGGAGAGCATGAGGAAGGTCCTGACACTCCTGAAATTTCAGTTTTTATCAGTGGTTTTGAAAATATCTATAAACTAATTGTTATAAAATTGAAGGTTCACGAGGGTCAAGACCTTCCTTGTAGTTTTCATGTTTATATATTCAAGTTTGAAACGATTCGGTATCCCCAATTTGATGGAAAGTTTCATAAATGAGACCTCTTTGACGTCACTTTCACATCGCCTTAAAATGGAGTCGCGATGTCCCGATTTCGTGATTAAGGGAATTCGATGATAACCTGGCGAACGGCCAATACTTCCCAATGTTCCCCTTGAATCGATCCTGCTCGTACGCGCCCCGCGTGGGCGAATTCCACGCGCGTGAATTATAAAATAATGAAAACCCGTGACCTTCTCGGGGAGCTTCGCGCAGCTATTCGACACGAATTTCATGATCGGGGATAGTTGAAAGCATTTACGAGGCACGTGGTCACGGGCAAGGAACTCGCGACATCTCTTGCTGCATTAAGCGCGACATTGTGTTCATACCCTGCCAAGATGTTTGCGGCAAATTTGTTGCCACGAGTCTCTAACCAGTGTTCGAAAAACGACTCGCTTGAGTAATTTGCTCTAGGTACTACATCGTTACCCCAAACTTGTCGCAGTTTCACTTGGAGGAAGATATTCGGGGATCGAAAAAAAGCGAGCGAAATTTGTTGCCACGAGTCTCTAACCAGTGTTCGCAAAACGACTCGCTTGAGTAATTTGCTCTAGGTACTACATCGTTACCCCAAACTTGTCGCAATTTCACTTGGAGGAAGATATTCGGGGATCGAAAAAAAGCGAGCGAAATTTGTTGCCACGAGCATCTAACCAGTGTTCGCAAAACGACTCGCTTGAGTAATTTGCTCTAGGTACTACATCGTTACCCCAAACTTGTCGCAGTTTCACTTGGAGGAAGATATTCGGGGCTCGAAAAAAAGCGAGCAAGGAAGAAAACGGTAGCTATCGCAATTATAATTTAAAACGTAGGAAACAAAGGGCTTGAAATAAAGCCAGCAAGATATGGATCGGGCGCTCGCGAAACGACGTTTAAAAAATGAGGAACGGTAAGCTCGGGATAATGAAATAATATTTTATCCTCGAGACGAAACGTCAAAAGTGGACGGCTTCTCTGCTGAGACTACTTCTTTCTTTCTGCGAACGACGGGGCCAGTCCCAACCTCCAAAACTTAAGGCAATAACGAGACCCGTTTGAGATTTTGCGCAACCTCGACTCTCGCGCGCAGGCGCGTTGGAGATCCGAGTTCCTCGGAAAAATTTGTAAACGTTAGTCGAATAGTGCAAGTTCACTTCCAAAATCGCGAGTGCCATCGATAATAGGTGTTTGAAACGGGTCTGCCAAGTTTCCCTTGCCCGTGGACAAGAGTCTTTAATCTCCCACGTGTCGATCCGCCTTCTAGACGTCGATAAAAAAATAACGAGATTCCGCCAAAAGCCACGTTTTCGCGGGCTCTATCGGTTCGTTAAGGGGATGTGAAAGTGGCATCGGAGGAGTCAATTGTTCATGAAACTTCCATCCGAACTGGGTGTGCCGAATCGTTTCAAACTTTACAATTTGAAGGTGGAGGCCATAAAGAAGGTCCTGACTCTCATGAAATATCATTTTTTGTAACAAATTTAAAAAATATCTATCAACAAATTTGTTAAAAATTGAAACTTCATGAGTATCAGGACCTTTCCTATACCCTCCACATTTATATTGTACAGTTTGAATCGATTCGGTACATTCAGTTTGTAGAAAAGTTTCATAAACGAGACCTCTTTGATATCACTTTTACATCACCTTAAGGTGATATGAAAGTATGATATATACGTACCAAAAAGTCAACCTATTTATAAAACTTTTCTCCACCCTGGGTGCACCGAATTATCATAAACTTTACCACGTGATTATGGAGGCTCTAAGGAAGATCGCGCTGCTCGTGAGATTTCAATTTTTGATAAAAATGTTGCATTTATCTCGGACAGAAAGCAAAAATGATATTTTTTGTTAGAAAAATGAAATTTCACGGGCAACGCGTTCTTCCTTGAACCTCTATAATCACGTGTTAAATTTAAAAATAATTCGGTGCACTCAGTTTGGAGAAAAGTTTGATAAATATTTTGACTTTTTGGTACATGTATATCACTTTCATATCACCTAAGTACCTCGACGTTTCGAAGCCTCCCCTACGCATGCGCGATCGGCCGTGACTTACGACTCGGTTCGGGGAACTCGATCTCGAGAGTGCGCGCCCTTCGGAGGCGCCGAATTCGCGGACCGGAGCTTAGCGGCGAGGCCGGCTAATTCCTTTAAGGACGAGAGTCGAGGGGTTCCCAGAAATCGAGCCCGAAGACTGGCGCGTCCCCGCTCGATAAAGGTGAAACCGAGACGCTATCCAACACGCCGTCTTCTCTCCGAAAAGTGGAACTCACCGATTTTCAGGCTAGGTTCGACGTCGAATCGCTGGCTCATTTGTGCCGGAGTGCGCGCGGTGCACGCGCCCGCGCCGCTCGCCGGTAGTCGATCTCCTTCTTCCACTCTCTCTCTCGACTCGTTCCTCACGTGGTCCGTCTTACTTAGGGACGTCTCGGCGACGTCTCGCGTCCTACGCGGCCGCCGGATGGGAGCGCGGTCTCGCCGAAACCACGTAGGAAGCCGGAGAGATCGGCCTCGCTCCTCCGGGCGTCCTTCCCGAGGAGCGGAAGCGAGTCTGGTGGATCCTCGGAGCGGTCGTCGGCCGGCGTCGTCCGGCGGTCAGCGATCGGTGTCACCTAGGGTCGCATCGATTTTCGGCTCGATTCGGCCAAGCGAAACCCCTCGGGTGTTCCGAGCTCTCGTTTCGATCGGGGGTCCTCTTCCTTTCCCTCGCACCCTGGCCCTCCGTCCCTCTCTCTCCCACTCTTGGGTCCTCTTCCTCTTCCTCTCTCACTCCGTTTCTCCGGTTATCGTTCCGTTCGACGTGCCCCGTCAATGGAGTCTTTATTTATAGGAACCGTGGTGGTGTAATAATAACTTAGGGCGAAATTATTCTTAGGTAGCCGGACATTCGCGGCTACGGGACTAGATGTGTTGACTAGATGCACCCTGGTCGCGGGTCGGCGGTCCTTCTTAAAATACTCCGCTCTCTCCGTCTGTTGGTCGGCCGCGTGCGAGGAGCGCGGCGCGGCAACGTCGCGGGCACCACTCGTCCGTCGGTTGGCCGCGTCCGCGACGCGTCGTCGTCCCCGTCGTCGTCTTCGTCGTCGCGGCCGACACGTCGGCGAATTCAAATTTAGCTACGTGCGGTTCGCGCGCGGTTCGGCTAGGGTACGGGCCGGGTTAAAACCGGGGCGGCCGCGCGCGCTTCGACCAGTTCGCCCCGAGTTCGCGGTCGAGCCTGAAATAAAGATTGCGACCGAACCGGAGGAGTCGCGGCCGCCGCCGTGTACCAGTCGGTCCACTCGCTCCAAGGAGCGAGCCCGAGAGCGAGCGAGCAACCTCGAGCGACACGGGCCCCTCTCATTGGTCGATAACGCCAATGACGTCAGCCGCCTGCCGGCCAACCGACGGGGCGCCGAGCGGCCCGAGGCGCGCATGCGCGAGCCGCCACTGCCTCCCGCCGCGGCGAGACGCTCGGCCGCCACTGCCGCCGCCGCTGTCGCCGCCGACGCCGCCGCCACCACCGCCCCCGCCGCCCCCGCGGCGCCCCCGCGGCGCCGAGGGCTACATACCGAGCGCCGCGAGTCGCGTCAGCTGGTCGCACGACCGCCCGAAAACGCGTCCCCGCCGCTCGCTTCTTGTAAATCACGGATTCTTCCGAGCTTCCCCCCCGCCCGCGGTTTCCGCGCTCGAGAGTTGCCTTTGCGTTCGGCCATCGGCTAGGTGGCGTCGCCCGCCGAGCCGAGACGGGAGGGAAAAGCGCCCCGAGGAGGACGTCGGTCTCGTTTCTCTTCTTTTCGCCTCCTTAGCAATTCCTAAGCGAGATCGGTATTACCGTATATTCGGAGTTTTCTCGTTCCCGGCCGACGGGGCGGCGTCAAACGTTGCCCCGTTACGGCTTCTACCGAACGAAGAGGGGCCGACGAATTACGGATCGTCGCCGACACCCTGGGCGACGGGCCGTCGCGGCTATCCCCAATGGCGTCACCGACGACGCGCGGAAGCGACCGCAAACGCCGCGGCATCCGCTTCGTGTAAATGCGAGAAAGGATCTCCCGTCTTTTTGTCCTCTTGTTTATTCCCCGTTTCTTTTTCCTCTCATTCGACGACCTCCACGCCGGCAGAAGCTAAGGAGGGAGGATCGAGATCCGTGGCAGCGAACCTTTCGCCGCACTCCGCGCGTCGACTGCGGCGCGACGTACCATTTTGCACATCGCTGCAGCACCCCGCGCATCGATGGCAACGCGCTGCAGGAATTCCCGGTATATTATGCGCCGCATGCGGCATCCTGGGCGTCGTTTGTGGCGCGCCGGACGGTCTTGCGTCACCGGGCATACCATATGCGGCCCGCTGCACGATTTTACTGCGTACCGCGCGCAGTTTGCTGCGCGCAGCACGCTTTTGCCGCGCTCCTCTGGCATGCCACGCGCAGTTCCCAGCGCGCAGCTCGGCTTGGAAACGCGCTCGACGCGGGCTGTGCGACGCCCTCGTCAGCTGGCCGCGCCGCCGAAAGCCCGCGGAAGCGATCGCCCGCGCGCGCGCCGACGCTCGTTCCTCGTAAACGCGAGACAGAGGGAGGGGCTCGCTTTTTTCCTTTTCCTCTGCCCCTCCTCTCTCTCTTTCTGCTCCTTCTCTTCCTCGCTCCCCTTCTCCTTTTTACTTCTAGAGGCTCGAGTACCTCCGCCGAGGATCCCGCGGGACGAGCGCGCGCTTCTTGCACCCACACGGCGGCGCGCTCTCTCCGCCTTTTGCTCTTGTTTCGACCTCGCGGGAAGGTCCGACGACAAAAACCCCGACGAGCCACCGAGAGATGCATCGATCACTCGCGCCTACTACTTCTCGCCGGCCCATTCACGCCGTGAATTGGGACGGTCGTTTTAGGGCCCGTCAGGGACCGCGACTCCACCCGCGAGTCCTGGATGCGCTCGTCCACGCGTCCGCGAAATGGGGCAAATGTGCCTTTCTTCCTCGGGCCTTAAAACGACTGTCCCAATTTACGGCGTGAATTGGGACAGTCGTTTTAGGGCCCGTCAGGGACCGCGACTCCACCCGCGAGTCCTGGACGCGCTCGTCCACGCGTCCGCAAAATGGGACAAATGTGCCTTTCTTCCTCGGGTCTTAAAAGGACTGTCCCAATTCACGCCGTGAATTGGGGCAAAGGTGCCTTTCTTCCTCGGGCCCTGAAACGACTGCCCCAATTTACGGCGTGAATTGGGACAGTCGTTTTAGGGCCCGAGGGGACCGCGACTCCACCCGCGAGTCCTGGAGGCGCTCGTCCACGCGTCCGCGAAATGCGGTAAATGTACCTTCCTTCCTCGGTTCCTCGGAACCGATGTCAGAGGTCGTCCGTTCGGTTTCCGTGCCGTTCCGGCAGCTTCGGTGCCCACCGTTTATACGCTTCCGGCAGACGTCCGTGCTGCACCGAGCCACCGGGAAAACGGCGTCGCCGATGACGGAAAGTCGATTTACTCGCGGCCATTCCGTATCCGCTCGGTATTCGCATTGTATCCTGGTGGACGCGAATGTCTCCCTCGTGGATACGCAGCTGTCGGTGGAAAAAGAGGAGGCATTCGTGTCCGTCGAGATGGACGGGACGGATACCGAACCGATACGGAAGGGACGGGGGTAAATCGATCTGTACAGGGAGAAAACAAAATGTAAAATGTACAGATTTTATCCCTTGAGATAAGGACAGCAGATTATTTCATTTTACGTTACAATGGAGCTTTTGTTTCTCAATTCCGTAAAAATTACGGATAAATATCTGTAACAATTACGTATAAGTATTTGGAAGGGTTAAGGTTAAATATCCGTTACTCTTAACCTGTTGAATCTATTAAATCTGCAGATTTCTTCCGTATCGCTTACAAATATTTTTAATTTTTCAGGAAAAAAATGAACTGAACGAACCGAATCCGTAATATGTACAGATATTTTCTCCTTGCACCTACAATTTTGTAATACTTTAAATGTAACCAGTTGCATTATTATTACTATTAACGGACATTTTCAGTTACAGGTACAGCTGACTTTTACAGAAATGTTTCTGCTAGCTCTACACGTAAAAAAGTAAAATTAACGGAATTAATCCGTTAATGGGATAGTTTTTAACCGTATCGTGAGCAACAATTTCCAACGGATACTTGATACTTGATACAATACTTCTGTAACTTTAAGACTTATCTTTCTCCGTGTAGGAAGCAAGGATACCGCCCGGACGGCACGGTACGGATACGGAACGGACGGGGGTAAATCGACCTTAGGTCTTCGAGGGATCGCCGAATCGATTCTCGAGTACTCGGGTGCTTGCCGCGTTCGCAAAAAATCATTAATTACCCACGAGATCGGGAAACGTACTTTCAGTCTCGATGATAACCGCGCGAGCGTCCAACCTTTACGTCTCTCGAGGTTTTCATTGCGTCGATCAATGATTTCAGGCGAAAATCGATCCGTCACGGGTCGGCCGCGTCGCTCGAGGAGGACGCGCGAGGTCGCGGAAGTCGATAGGTTCGGCGGAAACGGACGCGTTTCCATCGGAAACCCGCACTCGGGATTTTGACCGGGGCTGAAGGTACACGCGATCGCACTCCGCGAGGAGATCTACTTAATGAACGGCCGCGCGACGTTTTTCCGCTCGGCCGGAACATCGCGGATGCATTTCGCGTCGGTGACATGTCCCCGTCAGCATATAAACCGTTTCCGCGAAAACAGATTGGCAAAGATTTTAGTTGGGACGAGAGTGGAATACCGGAGTGCGCATTACCGCACTCGACGAGGTACAAAGGACCAGCTCTTTGTTTTGCCCCGCTCGATTTTGATGGCCCTCGAGCGCGGCCGAAATTTCCGCAGGACTTTAGATTAGGATTAAGAGGACCGATGCGGACTCGTTTCCAAGGAATCCTCTTTTGCCCTCTTCCTAAATCGTTTCTGAATTGCGACGTTCTCGATACTCTCTGCCAGGGTTGATAAAAGTCATAGTTTCTTTGAAAAGGTCCTAGATTAAAAAAATAATCGTGATTTTTTTCTTCTTTATCATTCAAATAAAATAAAATAAAATGGCCCTCGAGAGCGGTGTAAATTTCCGCAGGACTTTAGATTAGGATTAAGAGGACCGATGTAAACCAGTTTCCAAGGAATCCTCTTTTTTCCTCTTCTTAAATCGTTTCTGAATTGCGACGTTCTCGATACTCTCTGCTAGGGTTGATAAAAGTCATAGTTTAAAAAAAAAATCGTAGATTAAAAAAAGAATCATCGTTTTTTTTTTATTATCTCAATTATTCAAATAATATCCTCGTTTCAAAGGTTAGGGCCAGTCAATATTACTCAACAACTATCGCCATTTGTTTTCGCAATTACGCGTCTTATTCCCTAGTTATGCGATTTCGTCGCTTCACCACCATTTAACATGTTATTATTTTTTTATAACAGTGGGTATAAATATTTAAAACATGTAATGCTTATAACGCGCTGTGATAGAGTTGCACCATATCCTGCAAGTAGTAATGCGTATCGTGATCTCATGCGGTAGTACTTTCTGAAATGACAGCGCGAACAATGCGACCACATTGCACACGGATTGTTCACAAAATCAAGATTTCAATCAAATGATTTAAATCAACTCGACCCTGCTCTGTGCACCCCAATTTTGTATTCAACGTAGGTAAACGTTACAAAACCGGCTTAAGGTGATATAAAAGTGGCGTCAAAGTTCTTAAATTTTCTTTTTAAATTTCCTCACAGGTATTGTTAAAATTTGTTAGAAAAAATGAAATTTCACGAGGGTCAGGACCTTCCTTAAGCCTTCATATTCACGTTGTAAAGTTTGAAGCGATTTGGCGCACCCAGTCCGGAGAAAAGTTTCATGAGCGATTGGCACTTCGGATGCCACTTTCACATCGCCTTAAATTAGTTATTATGAAAAAGAACGAGGAGTGACTACATGGAAAGAATAAAAATTACGTGAAATTACTGAAATCCGTGAGTACCGATAACGTGGTCACGTCCTACCTCTCCGGCAAGTAAATCTTATACTTTGCGTCGAGTGCACGGAATTTCCGCATACCGCGCCGACACTATCGGCGTTTCGAAGTGATCTCCACGTTTGACTTATTAACCGCATACGCCGTAAAAAGTGATCGCCTGGCGTATCTTGCTATCCGGGAAAAGTGACTTCCTTTCGGGCGATAACCGCTTGAGAAGCATTACGAGTAGCGCCGAGTCCATGTCGCGATCCACTTGGAATTGGTTACACGGCTTTGGGGGGATTAACCGTCTTGTTAATGGCGTCCCGAGTTACTTATTTAACGCGTACACGTCGTCCTGGTAATCGCATTACGGCACGACCTAAGTCGTG